AATGCTGAAAATTTATCTGCATTTTCAATGAAATGTTATTGATCATCATTAAATTTAGCATTAACTTTAAAATCACTTGGCCAATTTGCAGAAGCTATTACATGGGCAGATAAAGCTTTAAATATTGACCCAAATCACATTAAATCATTATATTGCAAAGGTGATTTTAATATAAACATTAGCTAAGTGCTTATATATGCTCGACAAATATGAAGAATCATAAGAATGGGTCGAAAAAGTTTTAAAATATGATCCAAATCATGTTAATGCGTTGCGATGCAAAGGTGGATATGTTTATGTCATTTTTAAGGAGAAAGCTTAGTTTAATAAGGACAATATTAATATGCCTTAACTTGGATTAACAAGGCCTTATAAATTGAATCCTAAGATAGTAATACTATCTACTCAAAAGGTAATTAATTTCGATATTCTACTATTAGCACATTGCCTATATCTACTTGCTAAATACAATGAAGCAATTCTCGAAACTGAGAAAGTCTTAGTTAAAGATCCTTGTCATTTGAACTCTTTGTCTTGCAAAAGTACGATTCTAATATAATTGCTTAGTTAGAAGTTTATTCATGCTTGATAAATATGAAGAATCTATCCTGTGGGCTGACAAAGCATTGAATAAAGAACCAAACCATTTGATTATTCTAACATGCAAAAGTATTCCAATCTACTGTTATTCTTAGCATAAAGCTTATTTATTCTTGATCGCTTTAAAGAGGCCATAGTATACGCAGATCGAGTTTTAGAAATAGACCCTAAAAATATCAACATTCTCGACTGCAAAGGTTGACATAATATTTAATTTAACAGCATAGTGCTTATTTTAGCTAGCAAATTACAAAGAAGCTATTATTGTAGCAGATCTAATTTTGACTCTCAACTCAAAACATCTCAGTGCTTTACGCTATAAAAGTTGTTAATTTTCATTAATTATAAGCTACTTGTTTATACGCATTGAATGAATATAGAAATTCAATATCATATGCAGATTAACTTCTTATTATAAATCCTAATGATGAGAGCACTATAATAACTAAAGGTCAATATACATTTACATTCCAGGAAATAGTTTAAAATAACTCGGAGAATTTAAAGAGGCCTTAGTTTGGCAGGATAAAGCCTTATCTATCAACCCAAAAAATTTGTCCATGCTAGTTTCCAAATGTATCAATCTTTTTAATAAATAAAGCATAATGTCTATTTCAACTAGATCGATTCTAGGAAGCCATTGAATATGCCAATTAGGTACTAATCTTAGATCCCAATAATGTTGAATTCTTATACTCAAAAGGTAATGTAAATTTAAATCTTTAGCTGAGTGTCTAAGACATCTTGAGTAATATGAGGAGTCAATCTAATGGGCTGATAGAGCATTAGCGTTAGATTATAATCATGTTAACTCTTTAAATTGCAAATGTTTATACTTTCATTATAATTTTTAGAAAATAGTCTACGGTTGCTTAATGAACAATAGAGTGCTTAGACTATTGTGGATATGAGTCTAGTGATCTATCCAATGCAAGATGAATTTTGTGTTTCATTATTGAGAAAAGGTATAATATATAATTGCACTTTATTAGCTAACAACTTAATATAAACAGGGTAAGATTAAGATGCTATAGTTTTATTAGATAAGGCTTTATCCATTGATTCTAAAAATATTTATTCTTTGGAATGCAAATGTATTTTGATAATGATTCATTAATAGTGCAATGCATATTCAGGTTGAAGGAATATGAAAATGCAATCGTGCTGTCCAATAAAATCTTAGAGATTGACCCTAATAATCTTACAGGCTTGTAGTGTTTAGGTTATATGGATTGAATATTTTTAGCCGATAGTTTAAGGTTACTTGGTAAATATTAGGAAGCAATTGTTCAAGCGGATAAAATATTGTCACTAAATGAAAATTCTGTATTATCATTGTAGTGCAAAGGTATAAAATAGCAAAATTCTTAGCTTTATGCTTAAATATACTTGGTTAATAGAGAGAAGCTTTAGTTTTGGCCAATAAAGCTTTGACTATTGAACCTAATTCAGTAGAATCATTGACTTGTAAAGGTAAGTTTTATGTTTAAGTAAGGAAATATCTTATAACACATCGGACAATATTCTGAAGCATTGAAATTGTCAGATTAAGTATTAGATGGATATCCACAAAATTTGGAGTCTTTAAAGTGCAAATGTAAGAGAATGGTCTCCATAATTAGCTCATTGTCTATATATGTTGACTCGATATTAAGAGGCCATTAATTCAGCAAAAGTAATCTTAGATCATGAGCCCAAGAATATTAATATTCTATAAATATTTGGTATTAATAAATTATACCCATAATAGTGTAAAGTTTATTCAAACTTGGTATTTTTGGAGAGGCAATTATTTTTGCTGACAAGATACTAGAACTCTTCCCTAATCATTTAGATATATTGCTTTGTAAAGGTTAGAAAATTTGAATAATTTAAGCTCATAGTTTAAGATTACTTGGGAAATTTAATGAGGCCTTAGACATTGTAGACAAGGTACTTTGCATAGATTTAAATAATCTTAGTGGAATGTAGTGTAAAGGTTGTAATGCATTTATAATTTAGCTTAAACTTTATATATGTTGGATAAGAATGCTCATTCCATTATTTGGACAGAGAAGGTCTTGGCTATTGATCCCAATCATATCAGCACATCACACTGTAAAGGTATTACTTCATCTTAAATAATAGCTGACAATTTAAGATTGCTTGGTAATTACAATGAAGCAATCAAATGGGCAGATAAAGTGTTGGCTATCGATCCTAAATTTGTTGATGCCTTATATTGTAAAGGTTTCTTTATTTCATTGATAATTAGCTGATAGTTTAAGATCTCTCTCTTAGTATAACGAAGCCTTAATTGGGCTGATAAAGTATTGGCTATAGATCCAAGACAGGTTAATACTTTAGGAATCAAAGGTAAGCCTCAATACTAATTAGGCGATATTTTAAGAATTTATAAGAAATACGACTTTGCTCTAAAGTTGTTTGATATAGCATTGAGCATAATTACAACGAGTTATTTTTCACTTTTTGAAAAAGGTTTTTCATTCAATTGCACTTAGGCTTATGTCTACAAGAGTTAAAACGATATTAGGAGGTCATCATTTGTTACAAGAAGGCTTTAAAGATATAGCCAAATAATGGATGGATTTTATGTAGAAAAAGTATAGATATCAAACATTATTAGAATAATGTGAAGAGGCATTAATAAGGTAGAGATCAGGAGTGAAATAAATTTAAAATATAATATATTATATAGAGAATTATTATTGAGCTTGTTCATTTTAAAAGTTGCATCTTACATTATCTGATGATTTGGTATATTGAAATCAGAATTAATCAGAAATACTAGGATTCATTCAACAAAAAACAAACCTATAAATTAATCATATATATAAAATATCAAATGGGTAACAAATCAGGATCAGAATTTGGTGGAATAATGATAAGAACTGAAAAATAGTTATATTTTGCTGTAGATGTTGTATAAGGTAATAAGATTACATTTAAGTTCTTAAGGGAACATATATCTTCATATTATCAAAGAAGGATTTCGTGGAAAAGAAGTCTAACTTACCATATTGGGTAAAGAAAAAACAAGTTGGGAAACAGGATCAGGTACTCGAAGAAGAACACATGAAGGAAAAAATATTTTTCATCAAGTCACAGTAGTGGCCCATACATTTGAAGATGATAATCTTATGGTTGGTTCATTCATATTTCCTTTTGAAGTCCATCTCTCTGCAAACTTACCTGGAACATTTTATTATAAGGATGGCGTTCTTGCAAGCTTAGCTTATAAGGTAATTGCGAGAGTAGTCTCAACATCTAAATCGATAAATGATATTAAAAATAAATAAGTACTAATCTTAAGGGAACCTATTAAAGAAATTATTTCATCGAAATAAAAGAGGGAATCTTCTTAGATTGTAAGTGGATGCTGTATTAAAAGAGGAGTATTTATAATTAATCATATTTTTAGACATCTTCAATTGAAGTAAAAGTAGAAAAAAATATATATTTTCCAACTGAATTTCTAAATTTTAATTATGATATAGACAACTCAAATTGTAAACTTGATGTAGATAAAGTAGATTCTGTACTTGTGAATAGATTAAGATTGAGATCTAATTCAGATAGTGAACATGTTCTTGAATTTGAATTAAATTATTAATACCATAAAGGTCCTTAAAAAGGAAATAAAATTTAACCTATTTAAAAGAAAGATTACCAATTATAGTTGATTAATTTAAAAAATCCTCTTTAGCACCTAACTCCATCAATTATAGGAAATTGCGTGAATTCAATATATTACTTGAAAGTTCAGCCACATTATGAGGGTAAGTGTAAAATCTAGTTAGGTTGTTCTTGTTGTTCACCTAGACCCACTGTGAAGATTCCAATTACCGTTTTGGCTATTCCCCCTAAGGAGTACATTCAACCATTGATCTAACCTGAAAATTGGAATCCTTAAGCATTTTAACCTATTATAATCTAATCAAATACTCAAGGCTAAGAAAGCATGCTCAATAAAAATCTATAGTAAATGGCTGATCCAATGAAAAANTAGGATTCATTCAACAAAAAACAAACCTATAAATTAATTATATATAAAATATCAAATGGGTAACAAATCAGGATCAGAATTTGGTGGAATAATGATAAGAACTGAAAAATAGTTATATTTTGCTGGAGATGTTGTATAAGGTAATAAGATTACATTTAAGTTACTAAGGGAACATATATCTTCATATTATCAAAGAAGGATTTCGTGGAAAAGAAGTCAAACTTACCATATTGGGTAAAGAAAAAACAAGTTGGGAAACAGGATCAGGTACTCGAAGAAGAACACATGAAGGAAAAAATATTTTTCATCAAGTCACAGTAGTGGCCCATACATTTGAAGATGATAATCTTATGATTGGTTCATTCATATTTCCTTTTTGAAGTCCATCTCTCTGCAAACTTACCTGGAACATTTTATTATAAGGATGGCGTCTTGCAAGCTATTGCGAGAGTAGTCTCAACATCTAAATCGATAAATGATATTAAAAATAAATAAGTACTAATCTTTAGGGAAACTATTAAAGAAATTATTTCATCGAAATAAAAGAGGGAATCTTCTTAGATTGTAAGCGGATGCTGTATTAAAAAGGAGTATTGATAATTAATCATATTTTTAGACATCTTCCATTGAAGTAAAAGTAGAAAAAAATATATATTTTCCAACTGAATTTCTAAACTTTAATTATGATATAGACAACTCAAATTGTAAACTTGACGTAGATAAAGTAGATTCTGTACTTGTGAATAGATTAAGATTGAGATCTAATTCAGATAGTGAACATGTTCTTGAATTTGAATTAAATTATTAATACCATAAAGGTCCTTAAAAAGGAAATAAAATTTAACCTATTTAAAAGAAAGATTACCAATTATAGTTGATTAATTTAAAAAATCCTCTTTAGCACCTAACTCCATCAATTATAGTAAATTGTGTGAATTCAATATATTACTTGAAAGTTCAGCCACATTATGAGGGTAAGTGTAAAATCTAGTTAGGTTGTTCTTGTTGTTCACCTAGACCCACTGTGAAGATTCCAATTACCGTTTTGGCTATTCCCCCTAAAGAGTACATCCAACCATTGATCTAACCTGAAAATTGGAATCCATAAGCATTTTAACCTATTATAATCTAATCAAATACTCAAGGCTAAGAAAGCATGCTCAAAAAAAATCTATAGTAAATGGCTCATCCAATGAAAATTGAAATTTTAACATAATAAATGAAAAAGTTAGATTTTAATATTTATAAATTCATCTGATCATCCCCTATAAAATATAATAATTAGTTATGAGAATCATATGAAATGACATATGAAAATTTTGTTATCATCATGTTTAATTGATTGAGTATTAAATGGATGTTTCTAATTTTATATACTGAAAATTATTTTGAACTTGTTAGAAATATAAAACAACATTATTATTAAACATCAGTAACTTCCTGAGTCATAAGAATATACCTCTATAAATTTTGTTATTTTTAATGTTAATTCTGATTAATTTTAAACAGAGATAAGAGTTAGGACTGTTTTGATATAGAAAAAATTGTTTTACTGATATTGACTAGAAAATTAAAACTATATTATATATATAAATTCATTTTAGTACTTTTAATAAAAATTTGTAAAGATTAAGTTCATCAATATTATTCAGTAGATTTTCGTGATTGCTATTCAAAAATTAATGTCTTTTATGGATTTAATTCCTATAGTTGTGTAAGCTTTAATTAAATCAGAGATTATTATCGCTCTTGCATCTCCATCCACACTGGAGACTGATTCGCTCAATTTAATGTATTCTTAATCTTCTAATTCTTTGTATTTTGAAAACCAAGGAGAAGGTTTTGGAAAAGATGGTGTTATTGGAGGTTAATTTAATTTAAGCATTTATTTGAATAATTCTTCTATGTAATTATAATCAGGCATCTAGGAAGGTGTTAAGGTATCAATATACAACTAAAACTGATAAAATTAAGGGGGAAATTATTAGGAAAGCATACTTGTTTCATAACCCTAATCTTTTAAAATACCGATCCTTTTAATATCCATTAATTAAAAAGCTTTTTATTAGGTCTATTGCCACGGTAATTTTTCTAGGGGTATTATTTCAATTACTTTTTCTTAAGTATGCTAAAACATAAAGTAGGCTTTCAAGATCATCTTTATAACCCAGCTATTCCTTTTTATGAGATTGACGACTGGCAAATCTTATTGAACCAATAAAGGTTTCTTTTAAGAACTTTTGATTTCCTAAATTTTAAGATAACCCAAAATCGATCAATTAGACATTCCCAGGTATGAGAATTTATTCTACTGAGTCAATTATTTATCGTTGTGATGTCATTATGTTCTATGGTTTAATATCAAGATGCAATATTCCCTTGTTATGAACTTATCTAATTGTTCTTATCACTGTTAACCCTATTGCTAGTATGCTGTTCTAGGAAAGTAAGCTTGTCTTTNTTAAAAAGGAAATAAAATTTAACCTATTTAAAAGAAAGATTACCAATTATAGTTGATTAATTTAAAAAATCCTCTTTAGCACCTAACTCCATCAATTATAGGAAATTGCGTGAATTCAATATATTACTTGAAAGTTCAGCCACATTATGAGGGTAAGTGTAAAATCTAGTTAGGTTGTTCTTGTTGTTCACCTAGACCCACTGTGAAGATTCCAATTACCGTTTTGGCTATTCCCCCTAAGGAGTACATTCAACCATTGATCTAACCTGAAAATTGGAATCCTTAAGCATTTTAACCTATTATAATCTAATCAAATACTCAAGGCTAAGAAAGCATGCTCAATAAAAATCTATAGTAAATGGCTGATCCAATGAAAAATTGAAATTTTAACATAATACTTAAAAAGTTAGATTTTAATATTTATAAATTCATCTGATCCTCCCCTATAAAATATAATAATTCGTTATGAGAATCATATGAAATGACATATGAAAATTTTGTTATCATCATGTTTAATTGATTGAGTATTAAATGGATGTTTATAATTTTATATACTGAAAATTAGTTTGAACTTGTTAGAAATATAAAACAACATTATTATTAAACATCAGTAACTTCCTGAGTCATAAGAATAAACCTCTATAAATTTTGTTATATTTAATGTTAATTCTGATTAATTTTAAACATAGATAAGAGTTAGGACTGTTTTATATAGAAAAAAATTGTGTTACTGATATTGACTAGAAAATTAAAACTATATTATATATATAAATTCATTTTAGTACTTTTAATAAAAATTTGTAAAGATTAAGTTCATCAATATTATTCAGTAGATTTTCGTGATTGCTATTCAAATTGAATGTCTTTTATGGATTTAATTCCTATAGTTGTGTAAGCTTTTATTAAATCAGAGATTATTATCGCTCTTGCATCTCCATCCACACTGGAGACTGATTCGCTCAATTTAATGTAGTCTTAATCTTCTAATTCTTTGTATTTTGAAAAACAAGGAGAAGGTTTCGGGAAAGATGGTGTTATTGAAGGTTAATTTAATTATAGCATTTATTTGAATAATTCTTCTATGTAATTATAATCCGGCATCTAGGAAGGTGTTAAGGTATCAATATATAGCTAAAACTGATAAAATTAAGGGGGAAATTATTAGGAAAGCATACTTGTTTCATAAACCTAATCTTTTATAATACCGATCCTTCTAATATCCATTAATTAAAAAGCTTTTTGTTAGGTCTGTTGCCACGGTAATTTTTCTAGGGGTATTATTTAAATTACTTTTTCTTAAGTATGCTAAAACATAAAGTAGGCTTTCAAGATCATCTTTATAACCCAGCTATTCCTTTTTATGAGATTGACGACTGGCAAATCTTATTGAACCAATAAAGGTTTCTTTTAAGAACTTTTGATTTCCTAAATTTTAAGATAACCCAAAATCGATCAATTAGACATTCCCAGGTATGAGAATTTATTCTACTGAGTCAATTATTTATCGTTGTGATATCATTATGTTCTATGGTTTAATATCAAGATGCAATATTCCCTTGTTATGAACTTATTTAATTGTTCTTATCACAGTTAACCCTATTGCTAGTATGCTGTTCTAGGAAAGTAAGCTTGTCTTTCCTAGATCTTATAAACTGCAATTTAGCAGTGGTATGATTAGATAATTTCTAAGTTAAATGTTTAAAGTACTTAAAATCTTTGGTCTTACCATATTAGATTAATTTAGGTATTCCCTCTATACCAAATAGCTACTAAAGAATCTAAACTTCAGTCTCCACTTACCCAATTCCTGGTTTTTTTTCAATCTTTATAGCATATACATTTTAAGTCTCACTATGCTAAGCCTTTAAGACAACATGATCTGAACTTAAACCAAGATTTGAAATCATTTTGTACTCTGAGTTCTAAAGATACATTGATTCTTAGAATTATTATTAGAAAAATTTAGGAAAAAAAATTCCTTCTCGAATTTGAAAATAATATGAAGTAACAAACCGGGGTGAAACAATAATAATACTCATAAAATTAGTTTTAGCAATTATTATTATAAAAATAAATTTATTTCTTTTTGAAGTATGTAAAATCATTGTTTTAATGTTGAAAATATCTGAAGATAGCAGATACTTTTATTAGATCATATTTGAATAGAGAAATAATAAAAATAAATCAAGGTTAGTGATTTGCTTCTGTAGATGCATGTCTAATTTAAATCTCTTGATTATATTAATCCCAAGTAATTACATATTGCCGTCAGCGTTGGTTGTTCCAAATACATGGTCTTAATAATCAATTGATTATCCCAGTATAATATTTCTTGCGAAATTATTAATATAGTTATGATCAATAATATTTATTAAAACGCAATAGATTAACCTGATATCCATTTATTATTAAGAGAAGTCTTTTATTTGAGATGTATTATGCTGGATTAAAATATAAAATTATTAATTTTTCCATTCACAGGAATCATCTCATTTATTTTAAATAATAAATGAGCATTTGTTCATTGATAAACATTTATAACATACATCCTCCCAACAATACACAAATATGCTATTATTTAAAATAAACAAATTTCATACTTTTTAATGGTGTTAATTCTCTAAAAATTCTCTCAAGAATTAGTTTTAAATTACATTACCGAAAGTGTAGAGTTATCCCAGTAAGAAATCACTTAATCACCTTATTAATTTATTGATATTCTATGAATTGTGGAATCATTTTCTGAAATTGTTTAGGAACAAGAAAAACTCAAATTTGTGTATTTTGCATTAAAATTATGAGCAAATCCAAAATTTAATCGTTTAGTCAATACCGAATACTTAAGGTCATATCAAAAGAACCAGAAATACAATTTATATTGTTTCTTTTGAAGGAATATTGGGTTACAATACAAATCTCTATAACTCCTAAGATATCTTATGAATTTCAAATCTCCCTCTTTGAATCAAAACATTTTGATATATGAATCCAAACCAAACTAAAAGTATGGAATTACCTTCATTAATTGTAATGCACAATTTTTATTCTTTTCTAAAAGTTTTATTAATGAGTACATAAGTATCGGGTCTTAAACTAGAATCTTCTTGAATTTTATATATTTTAATATTATTTTTTGTTTAATTATTCATTTCTAATTTATGTAATGGCATTCCTTGGTTAAAGTAATTTTTGATTACTCCAAAGAAAAATAGCATAGTATATAAATTAAGGAATTTCTGATCATATAGAGTGGATATGATATATGAAATTAAATATCAGAAATTAGATGTTTATTAAATTTGAAGACAACATTTATTGATAACATAAATGCTGTAATGTTTAAATTAAAATTATGTTTAATTTGATAGTGTATCATTAATATACGTATTAAGTCGATTATGATGCTAATTTTTGAATTGATATCATATGATAAGGAAATACAATGTTTATTGAAAATTTAAATAATTGCTTGCTATAGTGACAATAGGAATACTTTCAATTGCACCTTATTTGGATAACACCGATAGAAATCCTTGGTTCGAAGATGATACATTTATTGTATCCGTCGATGATGGAAAAATCAATAGAATTAGAAGGTCTGATCCAGATTGGAAACCTTAGTCAGAATTTGAGTATTTAATATGAGTGAACACTATAGAGAGTACCATGAACAAATTTATTAAGAGTAAGAGAGATAGAGTAAAGAATAAATGAAGGAATTTTTAGAAAGTACTGCAAATGTATGTACAAATGGAAAAGATCCAAGTTAATTGAGCTTGTAAGCCTATATTAATGAATTCATTGCAGGTCCATGTCAACCTGCTATCTTGGGATTATGAACTTGTAATAGCAACAATTTTACAAGTAATAATTTATTCTATATGTATACAGGTTAAAATTGATTGTGAAACATTGTAAGCAAAAAGACCAGATATCTTCGAAAATTGTGGTTGGTAAACATGCAGTGCATCTAAGTTTTGGTTAAAGAAATCGAATGAAGAATATAGATTATGGATGAGATCCATAAATAGTCCATTTACAATTGCAATGAAAATAAGAAAAGTAAATGTTTTGGTGATTTTATTGAACTATATTATGATAAATCAAAGAAGGATCCAAAAGAGAGTTATTCAGCTGCACCAGGCATATCTATCACTTGGCATGAGAATACTCCTTAGTTTGCGGATGCAGAATGTGGAACTACAGCTATCTAAGAACTTTCTACTGATTAAATCATCAAATCATCAATGTGTGACACTAAGGGATATCATACATTTTCTGACGCTTTAAAAAATATGGGATACATACCAGGTTTGATAAATGCAAGCTGCACCATATGATTTTAGAAAATCAATTGTAGCTTCAGAATCCCAAAAATACATCATGAAATCTATTGAAACATTCCATAAGTTGACTGGCAAAACTACATATATATATTTGGACATTCCTTAGGATCTTTGTATGCAACTGAGGCAATCTATAATATGACACCAGAAGAAAAGTAAAAAGTAGCTGGTATTGTTACTATGGTCGGTCCACTATTATGGGCTACAAAATCATTCAAACCATAAGTAGGAGGAGATGATTGTTACATGTTTAAAGTTCTATCCATTGATGCTGGCATTAATTGGTATGCTCAAAGAAAGATGTCAAGTACTTCCTCTAGTGTTGTTGATCTTTATCCTAAAGATACTTATTTTAGATTTAGATCAGAGACTTGGATGCAACAAATATTAGATAGAATTAAATGGGATATACTTTTATTAGATCATATTTGAATAGAGAAATAATAAAAATAAATCAAGGTTAGTGGTTTGCTTCTGTAGATGCATGTCTAATTTAAATCTCTTGATTATATTAATCACAAGTAATTACATATTGCCGTCAGCGTTGGTTGTTCCAAATACATGGTCTTAATAATCAATTGATTATCCCAGTATAATATTTCTTGCAAAATTATTAATATAGTTATGATCAATAATATTTATTAAAACGCAATAGATTAACCTGATATCCATTTATTATTAAGAGAAGTCTTTTATCTGAGATGTTTTATGTTGGATTAAAAAATAAAATTATTAATTTTTCCATTCACAGGAATCATCTTATATATTTTAAATAATAAATGAGCATTTTTTCATTGATAAACATTTATAATATATATCCTCCCAAGGCAAATACACAAATATGCTATTATTTAAAAAACAAAAATTTGATACTTTTTAATGGTGTTTATTCTCTAAAAAATCTCTCTAGAATTAGTTTTAAATTACATTACCGAAAGTATAGAGTTATCCAAGTAAGAAATCACTTAATCACCTTATTAATTTATTGACATTCTATGAATTGTGGAATCATTTTCTGAAATTGTTTAGGAACAAGAAAAACTCAAATTTGTGTATTTTGCATTAAAATTATGAGCAAATCCAAAATTTAATCGTTTAGTCAATACCGAATACTTAAGGTCATATCAAAAGAACCAGAAATACAATTTATATTGTTTCTTTTGAAGGAATATTGGGTTACAATACAAATCTCTATAACTCCTAAGATATCTTATGAATTTCAAATCTCCCTCTTTGAATCAAAACATTTTGATATATGAATCCAAACCAAACTAAAAGTATGGAATTACCTTCATTAATTGTAATGCACAATTTTTATTCTTTTCTAAAAGTTTTATTAATGAGTACATAAGTATCGGGTCTTAAACTAGAATCTTCTTGAATTTTATATATTTTAATATTATTTTTTGTTTAATTATTCATTTCTAATTTATGTAATGGCATTCCTTGGTTAAAGTAATTTTTGATTACTCCAAAGAAAAATAGCATAGTATATAAATTAAGGAATTTCTGATCATATAGAGTGGATATGATATATGAAATTAAATATCAGAAATTAGATGTTTATTAAATTTGAAGACAACATTTATTGATAACATAAATGCTGTAATGTTTAAATTAAAATTATGTTTAATTCGATAATGTATCAATAATTGTACGTATTAAGTCGAATATGATGCTAATTTTTGAATTGATATCATATGATAAGGAAATACAATATTTATTGAATGATTAAATAATTGCTTGCTGTAGTGACAATAGGAATAATTTCAATTGCACCGTATTTGGATAACACCGATAGAAATCCTTGGTTCGAAGATGATACATTTATTGTATCCGTCGATGGAAAAATCAATAGAATTAGGAGGTCTGATCCAGATTGGAAACCTTAGTCAGAATTTGAGTATTTAATATGAGTGAACACTATAGAGAGTACCATGAACAAATTTATTAAGAGTAAGAGAGATAGAGAAAAGAATAAATGAAGGAATTTTTAGAAAGTACTGCAAATGTATGTACAAATGGAAAAGATCCAAGTTAATTGAGCTTGTAAGCCTATATTAACGAATTCATTGCAGGTCCATGTCAACCTGCTATCTTGGTACCTGGAATAATAGCAACAATTTTACAAGTAATAATATTATTCTATATGTATACAGGTTAAAATTGATTGTGAAACATTGTAAGCAAAAAGACCAGATATCTTCGAAAATTGCGGTTGGTAAACATGCAGTGCATCTAAGTTTTGGTTAAAGAAACCGAATGAAGAATATAGACTATGGATGGGATCCATAAATAGTCCATTTACAATTGCAATGACAAATAAGAAAAGTAAATGTTTTGGTGATTTTATTGAACTATATTATGATAAATCAAAAAAGGATCCAAAAGAGAGGTATTCAGCTGCACCTGGTATATCTATCACTTGGCATGGGAATACTCCTTAGAGTGCTGATGCAGAATGTGGAACTACAGCTATCTAAGAACTTTCTACTGATTCAATCATCAAATCATCAATGTGTGACACTAAGGGATATCATAAATTTTCTGACACTTTAAAAAATATGGGATACATACCAGGTTTGACTATGCAAGCTGCACCATATGATTTTAGAAAATCAATTGTAGCTTCAGAATCACAAAAATACATCAAGAAATCTATTGAAACATTCCATAAGTTGACTGGCAAAACTACATATATATTTGGACATTCCTTAGGATCTTTGCATGCAACTGAGGCAATCTATAATATGACACCAGAAGAAAAGTAAAAAGTAGCTGGTATTGTTACTATGGCCGGTCCACTATTAGGGGCTACGAAAACATTCAAACCATAAGTAGGAGGAGATGATAGTTACATGTTTAAAGTTCTATCCATTGATGCTGGCATTAATTGGTATGCTCAAAGAAAGATGTCACGTACTTCCTCTAGTGTTGTTGATCTTTATCCTAAAGATACTTATTTTAGATTTAGATCAGAGACTTGGATGCAACAAATACTAGATAGAATTAAATGGGATAAAGAATTCATATCTACAGGCAAACGACCCTCAAGACCTAACCCTTTGAATTGGTTCCCTGAACCTGATTAAGTTTGTGGTGCTGATTTTGAAGAAAGATCAAATCATTGCTAACTATTAATGAGTGATATGAGTGAACACTTCTTAAGGGTTGTCGATAAATTGTATTATTCTACTGAAGAATCTATGATTGAGGCACTTTCAGACAACATTAATTCTGATGCTCTTTAACAATTATTGGATTACGTTTAAGAAACTAAAAGAGTCAAGGCTGATAATCTTGAACATCCAGGAGTTCCAATGGTAGTTATTTATGCAGCTAATCAATTGACTCCAGCCCAATTCGAATATGATAAACAGCCTTAACCAATTGTTGATTCCTCAGATGATTTCTATCTACCTGATCATATTTATAAAGCTTATGGCGATGCAACTGTTCTTGCCTCATCTGCTATGACACCAGCCATCAAGTGGATTTATGAACACAAAAATGGATAAACCAATATTCCAACCAAATTAGTTGAATATTGTTCACAATACAGTGGCGATGCTGTCTCTTCAATTTATGATTCAACAGATGAATAACAATAGAAACAATTTACCTAATCAGGTTATTTGGGTCTTACATGTTCTTGTAAATATGGATAAACTGTAATTTATTATATTATTCTAGGGAATAGACCATTGTAGTCATGGTTGCATTATATCAGATGCATTACTTATATAGTTTGCTTCTCAGGTTCTGACTACTAATTGGAAATCGACTATTTCCCAAACAACTGCAACTGAAATTGAACTAAAAGCTATTAAAGAGGGATGTACAAATTTGCATTGAACATCATATTGTGATAATTATAAATAACAAAATATTATAAAATTATTCATATTTTATAACATATTTAACAAAAATTAGATGATTATCTAAAATGAGATTAAATGAATAAATGGTAATACTACTACTAATGTTTGAATATGAGAATATTTTTCAAAAATTAATTAGAATAAATTATAACTATATACTTCGCAAATCTAAATTAAAGGAACGATAAGATGATCATGAGGATACTTCTAAATTTTATTATTACACTAAATTCATGATTTGACAGCAATCTTAAAGATAAAATAATTTGAAAATACTATTTATTTTCAAATATTTTCTGCGTGTAAGTACAATTTATAAAAAGAATTCTTTTATCAACATCTAAGAAGATTCGATTTCATTAAAATTATTGTGTATTGGATGTTTCCTTTCATAAATTTATGATCTCTGCTCTAACATTTTAATTTAATTTAAATTCAAAAATTTTCATATATATGTTGATTAAAATTATAGATGAGTATTAGAAATTAAATTAATCTAAAATTATTTTAAAAAATTTGACATTGTATTTCTTTTAGATTTTTTTATTAAAGTAACATAATTTTGCTATGAAGCACAATATCAATATGGGAGTGTAACTATTAATTCGAATAGATAACAAACAAAATTACATAATATGAAGAAATAAATGAATACCCTATCAACGAAATTTAGTATTTTAAGCTGAATCAATCACAAAATTTGAATTATAATGTTCTGATTTATTGATAGCTCCTATTTCTATTACTAAGGATGCCACCATATTTTAGTATTAACAGAAAAACTGATTATTAATAAATTAATATAAAAAAATATATGGTTTGTAGTTAATATTTAATAAGCTTTAAGTATATAGTATTTAAAGCCTTTCCTTATAATATTTATATATTCCTAAACTATATTCTATTTTTGATAAAAGTAATCATTTTTTACATCATATAATAATGAGATCGTTATAATTTCAATGAAGGATTAATCAGAACAATCTAAATCCTATAATTCAAATCTTTAGTGTATAAAATCAAAACTCTAAAAAGGCTTAGATTATAATTGTTTTCAATATTCTTTATGGCATAGAACAATTACCTATAAATCAAAATTTCTGAAATAAGTGATTACTATATATTTATGACACATATCTTAATTATGTTTTAATATAGTTTTTATAAATGATCATAAAATTAGTTGTGCTGATATTATGCGTGATTGCATCAGATAATTGGTATCAACAGCATAAATATTTTAACACCACCACTTTAACGGACACTGAAGGTATTATTAATATATATTTAGGCTGGTGGGTTCAGGGAAATAATGGATAAAATATTAGCACTTGTGATGGCGTTTAAATGTTTGGAGGTTATAATGTTTTTGGAAAGGGGACAGTTGTTTCGAACTTACTTCCTTTAGATCCGCATTGTAAAATACGCGTTACTTTCTAGTTTTGGAAGTATTTATGATTATTAAGTTAAGAATAGATAGTTGGGATAATGAAATCGTATATTTTATACTAGATGATAAAGTTTAAACTGGGACTTGGTATTGGGATACGGGAGATGTTAAATGCGGGAATCCAGAACATCCGAACGAATGGAAAGAAGTTATAGTAGAAGAAAAAATCGAATTTTTGCACTAAGAACCCACGCTTGCTGTAATAATCAAAACTAATTTAGATGAAATTCCTTATAATGTATTCATATAATTAATCAAGGAATCTTGGGGATTTAGAAATTTTATAGTGGAGGTAGTCCTGTGTTCACCAGGCTGTATAAGATGTAGTAATGATACACCTGATGAATGCTTATATTACATACCAATAGAAGTGAATTGGTTTGACAGTTTTAATTTTGATGGGTGGCTTCTTAATAATTAATAGTTTGTTGGCATCAGCCTATGTGTCAACATGACGGTAATAGGAGGAGTTGGTCTTATTTCAGGAAATTAATAGTTAGCAAAGAAATATACATCTTTGATCCCACATTATAAACTAATATTATAGGTTCAGTTTTGGAAATTTGACTTTTGGAATAATAATAAATTCACTTTAGAGATTGATGGGCAAAAAATTTAAGAAGAAGTTTTTAATTAATATGAGGTTTTTCCTCTTTGTGGTGATAGCAGTGGGGGTGAAAAGTTATTAGACATTCGCCAGGAGTTGACTCATACATCTGATAGTCTGTAAATTTGTATGTATTCTGACCTTATTGCTACAAATGCTTTTTGGGGATTACGAGGCTTTAGATTATTTCTAGCAAAATGCGATGACACATGCCTTACTTGTTCTGGACCAAAAAAAAATGACTGTTAATCTTGTCAACCTGGATATAGACATTAAAATAATGAGTGTTTAGATGGTATATTTAAAATAATATTTTAGTAAAATGGATCTTGGGTTTATAACAATATTTCTAACCTTAAGATTTTCAAACTCAACCTGGTTGGACTATATCAAATATTTACTATAATCAATCTCCATTTTAAATATGTGCTAATGCCAATCTAGTAGGAGGGTACTCATTGTTATCTAAGGATTCTCAAATAGCCTTAACTATGGATTTGCCTAAACATACAAAAGTAAGAGTCAAAGTATAATTTTGGAAATTTGATACTTGGGATAATGAATGGTTTCAAGTATATGCAAATGGAAATCGAGTTTACTAAGAATAGTTTGGATTTACTGGAGTTCAAGTAATTTGTGGATCAACTACTTCTAATGCTTATGCAAAGTATTTGGATTTTGAATTTGTTCACAGTAACCCAACTATCAATTTAGTTATGACCACTACTTTAAATGAAAATGCACTTAATGAATCATGGGGAATCAGAAATTTTTAATTATTTTACGGAATTATACAGGAATGCAGCTATTCTGTTATTGAGACCTTTAGTTTACCTTCATTCATAGGAACTAAGCATATTTAAACAACTTTATATTCATTTGATCAATCCTTGTAAAATAAATTGGTAATATCTGAACTCGGGATCACTCTATATCCTGAATTTGATGAAACAATAACTGTTGACTCTTCAATTGAAAAATTGACAATCTCAATCATTTGGAAATGTTTTTAAACTGATCTAAATTTTTCCATTACTATATTACAAAGCAGTTACCCAGATTACAAAACAGGAACAGCTGTTTGTAATAGAAAACGATCCAATGTATTAAACTCCTTGGTGGTTTTGGAAAGAATAATAAAATAAGAATCATAACTTAGGTTAGTAGCTACTTCAACATCGATTTAGATAACTTAAATAGTATAAACTTAAACTATAAAGTAATACGAAATTGTAATTAACTGATAATAAATATCATTTCGAATTATCAATATTATTAATAAACCTCTAATTTTATCTGTTATAACAATTTGGTTCAATAAATAGGTATCAAAGTTTATGAGAATTAAAAATTATTGTTTTAACAAAATTCCACTAATTCTCTAAATGCAAGTTATTTTTAATTATTTCTTGTATTGTTTATTTCAAATTTTGACAGCTAAAATAAAAGAGGGAAGAAATATTAATAATTAAGGAAATAGTTTATTTCAATTTCTTTCTCATTGTATTTCAAAGTGTCCAGCCATTCTCAGTTATGATTTATTGTACAGAGATAATCGATGAGATGAAGAGTAACTTGAATCGTATATCAAAAAAAGAAGGAACTCTAGTAGCTAATATTAATATTGAGTAAATCTATTTAGAATTACTAAACATATTTAAAGGCAATGTGAGTCATTAGTTGCAGTACCATATCATAATAGAGAAACCTTATGAATTTCTTTTCGTATTCCTTGAAATACATATTGGTTTTATTTGTTCAATCTTGAATAAACTCATTATTATCTAAATAGGAATCAGTCTATTGGCTTACTCCAATAAATTGGTTTATTTAGTTACTACTACTTTAAACAAATGCTATTTATAATGGTTGATTTATTATAAAAAAACTGTCTAGATCATTTATTTTTCTTCTATTTTGGAGCTTCCTTGACTATTTTCCAAATACATATACGATATTTTTATAGATACTAATTATTGTTGTAAATTAATTATCAAATTAATATATAGTAAATAGAAGTAGCTCCTAAAATTTATGAAGTGCTTGTGCAAAATGAAAAACATCCAAAAATATAAATATTTCTTGCATAATAATATCTTATAGATAGCAATTTAGAATCTATTCATTGATAAATGATGAATGTACATTAAGCTCTTAAGATTACAGCCATTTTTTAAAAAGGAATTTAAAGAGTAGAATTGTATTCCTAAAACAAAAATTTAGCTATAGACCTACCCTGCTTTGAAATCTGCAAATCCATACTTCAAGCTACACAACCCCGATTAATATTTATTTCAAATAACAATTTTTTTGAATGATACCAAACATTTGCTTTCAGGGAAAATACTCATAATCTAAGCTAGATTTTTCAAGCAGACTTTATCAGCTATACTCTAAGAAAGCTCAGTTTACGGTAAGATGTTAGAATGATTATGTCAAATCTTGCTATTCTCTTTTTTGATTATATTAAGGTTATAATGAATTACTTTCTCATAGGCTTATATATCACATTTAGAGATGAATTTCATTAATATTAATAAGATCTCTATCAATTTTAATTATTGAGAATGAATATCTACAATAGCACTTAATGAAAAATAAATGGGGAATGCAATTCATAACCCATTTAACAATATATCTAAATAATTGCAGTAAATAGAATATTGAAATCTTATGACTTAATATTCTCTAAGTGTTTTTTAACTTTAGGCCTATAATAAACGCAGCTTCAATAAAACACATAAAAAGCAATCAACAATCTTTTGAGTCTAGTTGATATTCTGATAAAAAATTTCATTTAGATTTTCATTTTGAAGATTTAAAGAACTTTAATATCTCTAGTAATAAATATTTGGCTAACAGCATTGTTAGTAAAATATAATAGATTTACATTTTTAGGCTACTCCTAATGAACATATGCTCTAAAATGAAACATTATTACAGAAATTTTATATAGAAGCTGTGAGGTTATTTACTTCTGTAAAAATTCTTTTTAAAGATAAGGCAAAGTTATTATTTGAGATCTGGTGATGCAATCTTTAAACGAAACTAGATGAGGCTAAATTTTATATAATTAATTACACAAATTGCAGAATAATTTTTCAATTAATTATAAATAATTGAATTATGATTATAAATTTTTATTGATAATTTATTGATTAAAGAATAGTAAATTAATTAATGTATATTATTAATTAGGGATATTTAAGTGAGAAAGATAATTATTTATTTAAATTGTTTATACTTAAATGGATCTGTTTAAGTGTAAATATGTTCCTCATGAAAATGAAGAAGTTATTGGATTTTGTTTGAATCGGGATTGTTAAAATACAACTCAATATTGTTTTGAATGTTTAAATACTAAAGATTCACCACATTCAGAACATTTCAATGATTGTATTAGATTCACAAAAATGATCTAATTTATGAAAGAATTGATACAAGTGAACAATCAATTAAGGATATAATTCAAAGATGTCTATATACAATTATAGAACAATGTTGCAAAAATTTAAAAACAATTGGATCAAGAAATTAGTACATTAGAAAATATGACTCAACAGCTTTAAAACAAAGAGTATTTGGCTTGTAAATCATAAATACATATAATAAAACAGTTTTATTCCAAGGAAAAAGAAAACTGCAAATGTATCTTTGTTTATTCATATAAAATATTAATAGAATAACAAATAATACAATTCAATAATATTATTGATACATTAAAGAAGATGTTAGCAGACTAAACTAAAATGGAAGAATAAATAGATTCTGGTTGTCAAAAGGATACTATAATTAATTAATAGAGTGAAGATCAAAAAAACTAGTTGAATTTTGAAGAAGCTCAAAGATTATTAAATCAAGGTATATTAATTTGATTTATTATAGGAGTGGCATTAAGTAATCTAAAAAAATATTAGGAAGCAATTGAGTGTTACGATAAAGCTATTTCCATAAATCCTAAATATGAT